TATGCTATTAAAATGGGTTTTTTACCTAACATTGTGTCCACTTGCTGTAAATGTATAACTAAGCTGCCATGAGCACTATGGCCACCCTGTCTGTTGTACCAGTGCTATTGTTTGTGGAGATGCAAGGTGAACTGGATCAAGGAGATCCTTTGGGCCAGTAATACCCCAGCCAGTTTCATTGCTTGGTCTGTAAACTCTTGTCTTACAAGCACAATTTGGAGGGAGAGTGACATTGAGAGAAACAGGGAAATCAGAAACTTCCACTGAGAAAAACTTCCATGTGACTTAAATTCAAGAGACTAACAATTGATTTAGGCTGCCTGACAGGCCTGGAGAGACTTAGCTGTGACACCTAAATTAGGCATGCACAGCAGGTTATTTTAGCACAACCCTGTGCACTGTAAGGGGTGATGCAATGCATCGACCGAGTCCTCCCAACCACAGAAGCTCAGCACATTATTCCTCTTCAATGTGTGCTGGTAAAAGAGCTTCATGGGGTAGCAGGTATATTCTCTCTAGCATTTCACATTTACAAGTCCCAAGATAAAGTAATAGATAAAGTTTCCAAATGCCAGGCATGCAAATTTTGTCTTGTAAAAATCTGTCAAACCATATTTTTTGTTCATGTATCACCAGGAAGAAAGAATTAGGAGTTAGAACTTATTAATAACTTGCTGAGATTTGGAAGAGGAATATCTGGGTTTCGCTAGAGCTACATTATCTTTTTAGTTTAATGTAGTTAGAAACAACTTTTTTTTTTTTTTTTAAATCCTATTATAATCAGTTGTGACTCAAAGCACATAGAAAAAAGCATCATTTGCTGAATAAGATACATGTTTACACAATTATTTCAGAGTAGAACTGAATTTAAAGAAAAGCTAAGCAAAGATAGCTTCAACAACTTATTTTAATTCATGCTCCTGAGAACACAATATGAAAATATTAAGGTTAATTTGAAATCTTCAATAGATTAATCTAAAAGTGAAAAAAATATTATCTTATTAAACATATAAAAATACAGATATAGAGAAATAAATGATACATATGTGTACCAATCTATCTACAGAAAAAAGGTAAGGTAACCTGTTACATGGCCATAGTTCTGCTTCATCTGTTATTAGTCATGAAAAGTACAATGATACTTTCTTCTGAAGGAAATAAATGTTTTTTGTTCTCTTTCACCAGCTATACTTAGGAAAGCTTCATATTGAAATATTTATTTAAAGTGCTAGAACATTAGTTATGAGAAAAAGTTCCTCAGTACTATTTTTCCAGGAGGTACAGGTACATTTAAACACACAAGTACATCTAAGTAAAATTAAAAAATGGACATTCAAGAAGAGCTTGATTTTATCAAATAAAAATATGGATTTTTAAATATTGTATTTTTTAGAATTATTCTTTTTCTGAAACATTGTTTTACAAGTTACTACACCATCCTCTAAGAAATTATTCCTTACAAAGATCTCTCACTTTATGGTTGCAGCTTTTTTAAAATTGTACTGGGACCAGTTACACAAATTTAATAGTGTTATCTACTGAAATTTTAGTATAAACAGCATTTAAATGAGTGTCTGTCCATCTGAAAGATGGTACATGTTAAGTAAATCATTCTTACTTTAAACCATACTAGCTATAATACATGAAAAGCTTATTTAAAAGAAAAGAAAACAAAACAAAAATCTCATTCACCAGAAGTTTTGGTAGATACTGAGAAGTTTTACACTGTTAAAAATGTCTGAGTGAAATCAAATAAAAGTACTCAGAGCAGCCAAGACATTTCTCTGGTCATCTGGGGAGCTCAGTGGCAGCCCTGTGCTTCCTGTATGACCTGCTGTTGGGAAAAGCCTCTGCGTCCCACTGCAACTGAGCCAGCATGGCTCACGTATGTACTGCATATGATCCATGTGGATACAGATGTTTTTACCTTGTATTGTCATGATCTCTAGTTTAGCCTTTCTTGGTTTCTCTCCTCCTGTCTTCTCTAACATACTGCATTTTTCTGCTCAGTGTTACTCCTCATTTCATTATTGGCTTTAACGCAGGCAACATTTCAGGTTGTTTTTGTTTTGTTTTGTTTTGTTTTGTTTTTCCAGTTGCCAAACTTAGAGGTAGACTACAACATCCTGCCATGTTCCCACAGTTTCTTGAAAGGCTACCTACCTTACATGGTAACCTTGAGAGAGATTGCCAGTCTTGACTTCCTGCTTGTTGCTCTGAGGTATTTTAATGACTTTTTATAGTTCTTTAAGAAACAAGAATGTTCCTTGAACCATGATGCAGCCTGGCAGATGTATGAATCTAAGCAATGATATGGAGAGATAGATGGGAGAGGAGAGTGAATGAAGTCTCATGGCTGAGGGTCCAATGAGGGATCTCCAGACCCATAACTATTGTATTTGTATTGCCACTAGTTTGTTCATATGTGTCTGGGAAGGAGAGACCTAGTTTTCCACTTCAGAAGGAATCTTAGAAATGATTTTGTGTACATGCAGTGTAGAAGATAAGGGGAATAGAACATGAAAAAAATGAGGAACAACACAAACTAGTAAATAACATATACCTTAAGAGGCTTTAGGACCTAATTACTCTCATTATTTGAAAATGGGGCTTGTGTTTCCAAGGTGCCATAGAATAAACTATTATCTCATTGGCAAACTGGTACCATCAGTAAGGTCTTGAACAACACACAAAGTGAGGAATGAAAGCAAAGTGCTTCAGGACATAAATAGAATTCTAAGTAATGAGTATTTGTAGAATGTTTTCTTCATTTCTGAATCTCCAAAATTTTATTCTGTTTTCCTTGAAGTAACTAATACAAAAAAAAAAAAAAAAAAAAAAAAAAATATGCAGGGCTAGATTGATTACTGGTTTGAGCTGTCATGAAAAAGGAAAAGAATGAAAAAAGATTTTTTTTCTCTGAATTACCAATGTCATAATTTTAGTTTATACTGAAACAAGAAGACAAGTGAATTTGAAAGACTGGTTTAGAAAAGCTGCAAAGAAAAAAAAAGGTCAAGTAAAATTTACACACTGGCACACATACCTATTAATGATGTTTATCTGGGCATGGAATTGCTCTTAGGAATGTTCATTTACTTTTTAAAATTTTATATCTGTTTACCTATATGTTAGACTGTGTGGACTAATGACTAACGCATGCATTTGGGGATAAAAATATTTACATATGCTACTTTATATTAGTATCATCTAAACCCAACTTTTTTTTCAGTCTAGGAAGACTATGACTGCATACAAAGCTGTACCATTATTTTTTTCTCTTGTAAAGGACCATAAAGGAGAAATAACGACAAAACATATTAGAATACTTTCTGGTTAAAATGACATGGGAATTAGTCATGGCAGGATAATCAAATCTTATAACAGTGATATATAATGTACCATTATTACTGTGGAACATTTTAGATTGACTCATCTTATAAAGAATAAGAACCTGAACTGGGATTCATGCTGTGTTTCAGATTTGCATTCATGTGTCACCACTTCAATTAGGTATCTAAGCTCCCAATATTACCGATGGAGACTTGGCATATGATTCATGGGCCCACATATGCTTGTCTAGATCTATTTGAGATACACAAGGATATCCCATTTAACTATCAGTTTCCACTCAGAATGGCTCCCACTTAAAGAAGCCTCTGGAATTTCATCTTAGCCCTGCATCATATGACAGTTCCATGACAATGTCTTGGAAACTCCAAAAAATATTAAGTTGCACCAGACACTTTTGGGAAACTGAGTTGCTTTTTAGATGTCTATCTTCATATGAGTGGAATAATCCACTGGGCTTAATTCACTATGTTGACAAAGGGCTGCAGTCACTTGCCCACAGAAGGAATTGAGACTCTTCAGAGCAGTAGCTGGTCACCAGGTGGTTTTGTTTTTTTTTTTACAGTATCTTAACTGGCACTTGTTGCTGGCATTTTAGCAATTGAATGTTACTCTGTATTTCCATTAACTGCAGTGACAGCTTAGAGATATAGAGCACATGTGTAAACGTCTGTACGTAGACATATTAAGATACCGCAATCGTGACAATGAATCCTAGCCTTCCTGTTATGTCTAGATAAAATATACTTACATATATATCTGCATATAAATATACAGTATCTAATGTGTAGTTTTTCTGAACTATGAATAGTAATACCTACTAAAATTAGCTGATTTTACACTGTGGAATTTTTTTCCTTTTTGGAGAATGACAGAAGAGCAAATTCAACATTTTCTGTTTTATGTGGATCATGTCCCACAAGACAGGACTTTAAATAGAAAACTCTTAAGTGCTGAGTAACAGTTTCATCAGTGGCTATCAGTTTTATGTAGGGTTGTGAATAGTTGTACAAAGTCCACATGGAGACCAGTTACTCCCAGTTTATCCCAGGGATTGATACTCTTTGATTTCTTCATTAATGTCCTGAACAATGCAACAGAGTGCACTCTCACCAGAGAGCTGTTCTGCTGTTCAGAGGGACCCTGACCAACAGAAGAAATGGCTTGATAATAAGCTTATGAAGTTCAAGAAAGGGAAGTGCTGAGTCCTTCACCTGGGAAGGAATAACCTCATGCACCAGTGCATCCTGGTGCATGCTGGATGGAAAGCAGCTTTGAGAGAAGGACCTGGGGTCTTACTGAATATCAAATTGAACATGAGCCATCGATGTGTCCTGGCAACAAAGACAACCAACATCCTCCTGTTTTGAATTAGGAAACGTGTTGTCAGAAGGTCAAAGGATGTGACCCTTCCCCTCTGCTCAGGACTGGTGAGACCATACCTACAGTGCTGTGTCTAGGTCTGGGCTCCCAAGGGCAAGAGAGACATGGACATATTGGATAGAATGCTGCAAAAGGCCATGAAGGATGGGAACAAGTCTTATACATGGAGAGGCTGAGACAGCTGGGACTGTTTGGCCTGGAGAAGATGTAGGGGGACCTTACCAAAATGTATAAATACCTGATAAGTAGACTAAAGAAGATGGAGCCAAACTCTTCTCAGTAGTGCCCAGTTACAGGACAAGAGGCAATGGGCACAAACATAAACACAATAGATAACATTGAAATGTAAGAAAAAACTTTTTTGCTACAAGTGTTCAAGCACAAAACAGAGAGGCTATAGAGTCTCTATCCTTGGAGACATTCAAATACCAGCTGGACTTGGCCTTGGGAAGCTTGCTCTAGTTGACTCTGCTCCGAGCACAGGGTTGGTCTAGATGATCTCCAGGGGCCCCTTGCATGACTTGGTGATTCTGTCATCTCTTTTTTACAAATTGTTTTTAAGAGAAAGATTGTCATAGTCAACTTATTTTTAACATAAAATATTCTAAAAGGAAACATGATTTTGCATGACTTTACAGGTATTAAAATAACCCCACAGGATAAATATTACACAAACAACTTTGTTAATATTCAGGCCTTAGATCAGAGAGGTTGATATTATACAAACTATCATAAGTATTGTTATATCCACCAGATGCTTTATTCCAGGCTTGTGAGTGGGGATAAACAGATGACAATGAGACATATATATATCAAGCCAGAGCTAAACAGTTACCAAAGACTGAGAAATAGTGTTACCAAACTAATCAGCATAAATGTCATATAATCAACCATTGTTGTACATCCTGCTCCAGTTGTGTCTAAAGTGCTGCCATCGTTGGTTTGATGGATTTGCTTTACGTCACTGAGGTTCGTCTTGTCTGGCATCCCTGCTGAGACAAATAAGAAAATACAGTATGATGCATGCCTTGTCACTACTAGCAACATGTTTCAGCTAGAACAAATTTAAATATCCTCAGCACACAGACTGTCACAGTTTGGTTTCTAATTCTCATGTTACTGCCAAATTCAAAATCCTTTATAAGTGCATCTAGAAACATACATTATACTATATGGCTATTCATCATTAAAAGTAATTCAGAAGTCTGCCAGCTCTGAACAAAGTTGTTCTTGTAGAAATATATCTCAACAAACATTTGCAGACTGAAGTGAACAGTTTTGCAAGTCCCAGCAGTACCTAAAAGTCCACTGATCACATCTTTCTTGGATTTGAAAGAAAAGGGAAATAATTTAATGTGAAATTGCTTGTGTCTGGATCCCAAAATTATTCCAAAATAACATATACCTCTTAGAAGGTATGCAGCAAAGTATACTTGTTTCTATATAAAACCTCATTTTGGCACAATTTAAACAGACTTTACAACATTGCACAGCAAAATTGTAAAGCTAACGTTAAACAGGAACACTTTTACTGAGTTTCCAGCTGAATAGTTGTGCTTTTTTGGACCAGGGCAAATATTTCTCCATCTCAAAACCGTGCTTTATATGGAACAAGGATGTAAACACCCATTAGATTTCCTCTGCCCAGTTAAATAACCAGAAACAGAAGGTCTTGGAGACACCTTCAGATTTGGTAGCATTGTCAGCTGCTTGTATTTGCTATGCATATTTCTAGACTAACTGTTTTATCCCATATAATAACTTGTGGCATGCCACTATCAATCAAAATTAACAAGTCTAAATTCGGTGTTATTACATGCAACAAATATTGACATTGTAATTACACTGAGACTGAAAAAGGATTCATATAAAGCAAAGTCAATATTTATGTAATTAGGTCAATACATATATAATTCAGAAGGTAAACTACTGTTGGAACAGCAGCATTAGAAAGAAGCTCAGCTCTACTGAGCTGACATATTGATTTTACAGTCGAGTTTCTGCATTATTATTCATTGTTTAGGTACTTCTTTCCTCTGAATCATTAGGAAAGATGAATAAACTAGTGATCCTTTTATTATCATTATTATTATTATTATTATTATTCAAAAGCACTGTGATGAAGTATAAATATCTTAGTCATGGTATTATCCTCTTCGTTATCCTGGTTTAAAGAAGATACAGAGAATCCTCTTTTTTAAAAGGGACAACTTTTTGGGTGCTTTTGTTAAAAATGCTCTTCTCTAAAAGCAGCTTCAAAGCTGGTCTTTGTGAACTTGCTGTATGTACTCAAATCTCCTTCCTGTAGCTTTGAAAAAATGCATTAAGGGAAGAGTCAGCTAAAGTCAATCATGTTGTCTGAAAAGCCTACTAGAATGAATTTGTCTTTTTGCTGCCATATTTATACAGCAGACTGTATTGCTATTTTTTGTAGATTTATTGATCCCGTGCTCTTGCCTGGAATTTGTGAAAATTAGCTCTCTGTGTACAATGCAAGTGGACACAGGAGGAGGAAAAGTGACAACAGATGTTGAGGAGGAGGGAACATAACTTCTCCTTATCATGCACATACTATAATGTGTCTAGAACACTTCACTAAATGTATGCTTGGTGGATCATTAAAGATGTTATGTCAAGGTGTTATTTCAGAGAAGTTTTGTAAGTGGAACAACCAAAAAAAGTTTTGGGTCATTTCTCCAGAGCATTAGTGAAGTTTTCCCATATTTAACAAGACTAATTTCAACAGACAGTGAAAAAATAAACTCTCACCACTACAACAAAACAGTTCACGAAGTGATATGGGTATAATGAAGCAGATATTTCCCAGTGTATTTACAAGTACGCTATCACAGTAGTGAAAGATATGGCCTTATCTTAAACATCTAGGACAACACTTATTATAAAAGATAATTATCATAAAAAGAAAAATATTCCTAGATCTTGCAGTTAAATAAAATAACTGGCTTCAGTTAGAATATATGATACATGTGATATGAATCACATTACATGTGATTAGACATTAATTACTGACTGGAGAGTCAGGATTAATTTCTAGTGAAAATTTTATTGACAATATTATAGAAAATAGGAAAAAAAAGATTTAATTTCATGAGAAATGTCATCTCTGTATCTCTGTGTTGGTTTTGTGGTGTTTTGTGGTTTGTTTTGGGTGTTCTGGTTTGGTTTGGTTTGGTTTGTTTGTTTGTTGGTTTGTTTTTTTTTTTTTTCTTTCCAGCCTCAAATGAAAACTGCAGACTCTGGAACTTCCTGAAAAGAGTGTTTTAAAAAAATGTTCAAAAACAGCATACACATTTTCCTTTATCGAGAATTTAAATAAGGATGGGACAGTGTTTCAGATAGATAGGAAAAAATGTGGAAAGAGGCTTTTACAAGACAACATTTCTGTGAAGTTGTATGCAAAAATTTTTCTTAGAAGGGCAGATAATTCTTTCTCCCATCATATGTAAACTAAATTTTAGGATCCTAAGCACACAAGCTGTGAAGAAAAGCACTGATAACTAGTTGATGTTCTGCCCCAAAACTCATAAGATAGCGAAGAAGCTTTATGAGAGGTTAAAGAAATACATAAAGGTCAGATGAATATACCAAAAACCTGATGTGTTGTAGATGAATGTTTAAATCAGAAGTTTTAAATATAATCCACAATAATGAGATACCTGGAAAAGGTTGACATGTAGGCATGTTGTTCATGAATTTGTAAATGTCAGTAAAGAGCTATAATACTTTGGGGAAGATAAATTTGGATGCAACTGATAAATTAAACCAATGAATTTGTAGGAAAAAGCAAAATGAAGAATAGCATAATGGTTAAGAGAAATGAAGGGAAAGTGATATCAGAGCAATGAGTTCCTTACTGTGTTCAGTAAATACCAACACTGACTAATATCGACATACATTTCTAGCATGAAGGAAGATATAATATTAGATTGATTCCTGCAATTCACAATAATAAGGTCTGGTTTTTTTTTTTTTTTTTTTTTTTTTTTTTTAAGCATAACTTGATTTAAACAGAAAATAAGAGGAGAAAACAAAATTACTTTTCATTGTCATTCCATAAATGAAAATGACTTATTAATTACCAAACCTTCTTTTTCTCATTGGCCGATCTTTTGCCATCTGGAATTTTTAAAGCCTCTAATGGATTCCTCCTCTCTTTCTTTAACTGTTTTCTTGCCATATTTTATTTATAACATAATATAATGAAAATGTTTCAAAGCATACTAACTAGATCACAGAGCTGTGTTTAAATAGCTCAGGTACGCTTCAGTTTATATGTAGTGGTTGTGAAAAATATATTTCCTATGTTAAAATAGATATAGATTCCTTTACTGAACAGTAGCTAGTGTGTTTAAGCCATTAATCTTAAAAACATCACAAAATACTTACGAACATCCAGTGCTTAGAAAGAAAAGTAGAAACAAGGGACTACTTCTAGCATTATTCAAAGACTCTTCCATGTGAAGTTCATGTGATGTTGGCCATGAATTCTCAATGAGAGGAGAAAAAGATGTCTGGGAAGAACTGTATTATGAAGGGTACCTGGCAAAGGACTAATTTCTTGAGGCCATTTTCATGTTTCTATGACTACATCTATACTCAGAAAAGCTAAGGGATGTCCCTGACAAGAAAATATATGCTGTATTATGCTGGAACACATGCCCTTCTTATAGTACATATACAGCAGTGCACGTACTCACGCTCTTCAGGAAATGTGTGTGCTTTTATGATGTAGTGAAACTTTTGCCCTCTCCCTTGCACAGTAGGTGAAATGGAGAAGAACAGGGAATTGGAATGGATGATCTCAGAGGTCCCTTCCAACATCAACAATTCTGTGATTCTATAAGTATTAAATGATTCATAATCAGCACAAGACATGAACAAACAAGCAGACAATAAACCCCACTGGATTTCACTTACAAGTAGTACAGAGGGAAGGAACCTACATTGTTTTACTATTTTTGACTACATCAATTTTGAAAATGTGAAAAGTGATATAAGGGATTTTTCTGCTGATAATTAAGTGAGGAATCAACCTAGTGAAAAATGTATCTCCGCTTTATTTTGTTTAGATTTCATCTAATGAAGGAGAAATTAACAGCTGATCCACAGAGGCTAAAGAAATGTCAAAATTTTCAAACATTTTTCCAATGAAGCTTTGGGGATTTTTAGGCTTTAATATTAAAGAAAAAGAAATTATCTAGCATTGCACATTTGTTTGCCATATCTGAATTATAAATCAGTTTACTCAGCTGAGTTTCTTAATACTCCAAATTTTTTTTTCAGTGAAGCTGTTTTCTTCAAGGCTCATGATAAAAGAACAGAAAAGTCAACGTTATTCATTTAGAATAAATGAAGGTTTTTACATCATGGAACTTATTGTTACATAAACACACATATAACTGCTGCCCTATCAATGAAAATGGCTTAGGACAGAAAGCAGGCTTCATTGATACTAAAATTGTATGTTGTAAAATGGTTTTGATTCCTATCCCCTTGTCTTTCTGTGAGGTCTAAAAACTTAATTTGGGTGCAATAAATTATATTATCTGATTGTGTCAATTCCAATAGCTTGTCAGTAAAGCTAAGGTGAAAGACAAAAGAAGATTCAAAACCAAAATGAATAGATTTTGTCAAAACAGTAATGTCTCTGTTTCACTGAGTCTGACTTTAACCATTGCCTGATGCTTTTGAGATGGGAGAAACAGTAAGATACGGTGAAAAAGTTAAACTATCAATCCACTGGGACCCCCTATACTTCTGGCATTCACTATTTAATGTGTGCTTTGGAGAACAGGAATACATTATCCTTATAAAGTAAATTATTCTCATAACTGTCATAATTCATGCTACTTTTTCTACAGACACTTTGCCTTATGCAAGAAGAAACCAAACCTAAAGCAACAAAAAGCCAAAATAAAAAATAACACACACACCCCCCAAACGACAAACTGAAAATGTGGTCACCTCTCAG